TTGTTACTAGCAAATGCTTGCGAGGAGAAAAAACAACAAAAAACCTCCAAACCCAGACCAAAAACAGCAAGAGCCGTTGGAGCCCTGTGCTAGCATCAGCAAATCAGTGTCCGTTTGTCCCCACTGTGGCGATATCAGAAAGAATGAAGCCTTTCTGGGTCAAATTCTGCTCTCATTTCACTGGCATAAATGATGCCTCTAAAGCTGAGGGAATTGTTGGCTGACCGACTGACCCAGTGGACTTCAGGCAGAATTCAGGTCTCCTTGACCTGAGCAGAGCAAAGGAACTTGTCCCTGGCACATCGCTAAGACATACCGGCTGATTGTTTAACCATATTGAGAAATAACAAAATAGGCTTCCCTATCATTTTTCACCTAGCTCAGATTTGATCAGAGATATGAAATAAAGAAAGACACAAACACCCATTCTGGCTAAGTTTCCAAAATGTCGCTTGCATGATATCTACCTCAGGAAAAACGATCCTGCTGCTATCTTTGTACTTTATCTGTGACGCTCTGTCTCTTCGCATACTTACACTCACCATCACAGCTTCCAAGCATTCTCCTCTAATTAATCAAAAACTCCTTCCTTTTGTTTCCTAGGTCATGAAGGAAGAACAGTAAATTCAACCAAGATATCGGCTGCGAATGGAAGCTGGATTTCTACCCAAGGAACCTAATAATAGCGCCATGATGCAGACAAAGTCAAAATTGATATGGTTTTATACACAGAGGCAAACAGTTGAGTGTGAAGAAGGTAAACATCAGATAGCACTGGGACAGTGGTTTGTCCAGCTTGTTCTGTGTTTGTAAATATAGAAGTGTGTTGTGGTGGCTAAATTTATCCTAATGTAAGGAAACACGCACAAAGAGGCTGCTATTTGATAACTTCTATAGGCAGCATTAGGACATCCTGTGTGAATTAGTTTGGGGGAGTTCATGATAACATGGTACATATTAGAGTTGCCATTTCTGGAAAAATTAGGTCATAATTATGTAGATAAGATGGAAAGAATTTCAGTAGCATTGTAGTATTTTCCTGACTTGAAGCCTGACTCACATGTCGAAGCTTTGTTTTATTGTATACCTTGGTTTGACATATAGTCAAAACAGCCTTTATACAGAGAAAATAAAAATAAACCAACAGAGTAAGAAAGAATTACACACAGCATTGAATAAAAATAAGTACAGCAAGCCTTATTTTGGAAAGGAATAGTTATCTTTTCCTGTGAAACATTTTGCAATTTCAAAAATGGCTATGCCAAACCCTGGAAAAGTCAGAGGAGGGAGATACAATCCGGTAACAGCTTGGGAAGGGGGCCTTTCCCTGCTCTTGATCCAAGCTGGAATTTCAGTTGTACATCAGATGTAGTTTGGGACCATTAGAGTACGGCCACGCTGGAGAGTGGTGGCCGCCTTCTTACATGCTTCCCTTCATCCTTCTCAAATTTCATCCCGGACTAGAAGAACCTCTCACTTCAACAGGAGGTAGATCATGGCCATGAAACGTTTATTTTTTAAGAGAAGTGAGCTTAGTTCTAGTCAGAAGGACGAGCGTACTGACTCTGCAGTCACTACAATGTTTCCATTTGCTTCAGGTAGAATATGTTTTCGGTCAGGTCGTTTATTATAAGAATGTACTTTTACACTGCTCTGTATTCAGTGCCATAAACCCCAGCACATACCATGTCTCTCTTCTTTCACTGAGGGTTCTGGCGTGAGTTATTGAATCTTTTTCTGCCATGGAGCTCGCTTTGAGAAGGAGCAAACCTCTAGGACAGACCCTGGTACTCGTATGTGAGCCAGGCTTAAGATAAAATGCTTCATGTTCCCTTTTGCTTATTCAGTGAGACAACCAGACTGTTAAATTCTGGTTTTCAGTCCAGCTCATTAATGCAAACCAGAGTAAGCTGCGGTTTGTGCTCCTGCTCCAGAAGGTAAATAGCACAGGGGCAGAGGCACATCCCCTTCTGCCCTCACCGCCTGCGAACTGACCCCTGGAGCAGGCTGGGTGGCACGAAACGGCTCTGGCCGCTCTTCTTTTCCAAGCCCCTGGCATCAGGGCATCTCACCCTACTTGTGCTCTCTGCACCTCGGGGCTGTGCAGGGCTCTCACGTTACCTCGCATGGCTCTGGGGACTGTGCCATCCCCAGAAGGACTGTGGGTGCCCATCACTACACAAAGCTGCAGCAGAAGCAAGCAGCGGGGTCAGTTCAGGGAGGAAGAAAGGAGGATGAAAGCCTGATTTTGAGTCCAGGCATGAGCAGAGTAAACCCTAGAAGGATCAGGTTTATTTATAGGATGGGCTCTCAAGAATCCCTTAAGCAGCTGGACAGGAATTTGGGCTACTAAAGCCCACCCTTCGCACCATTTAGCCTGGCCACCTACAAAATCCAGATAGCTGGCCTTAATAACAGCCCAGGCGATGCTGCTGTGTTCCTCCGCTCCCAGAATCGCTCCTCTGCTCCCACACTCTCCTGGGAGAGAAAACAGGAAGGACTGGGATGGGGATGCTGATGCCGGGCCCCTTCCCTGGCAGGAGAACCCCGTGCCACCCGCTCGCCT